TTATGATATAATAATTGCCCCTCTTCATAAGGCAAATCATTATTTCTTAGTTGTAATAAACTTTCAAACCAAAACATTCTATTACTATGACTCTATTGTTTCCAATCATGGTAAAAAAATAAGATCATTACTGAATAGCTTTAAACAAGCATTGGATTTTTATGCCAAAAATGGCGTTTCTACAAATCATAATTTAAAATCTATTGATTGGACTACGAGTCAAGCTTCTGGACAGCAGCAAAACGATTCTTATAACTGTGGCATTATTCCGAATGTCACCTAAAAGGTGAATTCACACCTTTGCAGCCATCTCTATAAAAAGAAATGAACTTCAGAGCTCAATATTAAAAAACATTGTTATTGATGTAAACAAATGTCCAATATGTAATGCAACATATGACAATGGAATTGCCATGCATTATTGCGAATTGTGTGGAAGATGGCTTCACTATACTTGTGATCATCGGGAAGAAATATCCGAACATTTGCCATCTAACATGGATTACATATGCTTCAATTGTAAATCATTTTTTGATGGGCTAGCATTTGGAAAAAAAGATAAATAATGTTGATAAACTTGTTATAGTTTAAGTTTAGAAATACTGAAAATAATACACACGGCTAAAAGCTTGTGTCATGCAATTCACATCAAAATAATTTGATGATGAAGAACCCAGCACACATTTTGTGTGTTGAAGATGTTTTGGCCCACTATTATAACAATAAAAGTACTGCTTATTCAACAAAATACCAAAATCTCTGATCAGTGTTCATAACAACCATCAAGCATGACACAAGTCATAGTACATACATAATGATTAACTATGTATTAAAACACAAGTACACATCAATGTACTGCGGTGAACACTGACAAATACATTTTTCGTTGAGATTTAAAAAGATAAAAAAAAAGTAGAAGGGTCTGTGCCTAGGGGCACGAACGGAAGCTTGACGTAGGACCGGTAGTGGACGGAACAAATGTGAACATTTAGTTCTTTTAATTGATCAATCATCAATTATCTTAACTCTTTCCGTTTTTTATTTGTAAGCGTATCAAATTTGTAGTATTTATTTCAAAGAGAAAGTTGATGAAGAGAATCCAAGGGACTGTCAACTTGAGTATTTTCGATTTGTTATTGTTATTTTGAATTTTTTGTTATTTATGAATTTTTAAGTTTTGTGCATTTTGTGGTATTAAAGTGTATTCAATTCACCCCTCACAGGCCTTCCGAATTATATGAATGGGGCGGGGCGGAAAATATCGTTTTTTGCAGAATATGGAGGAGGGAGATTGCACTCGTGAGAGCTAATTTTCTCACAAATTTGATTTTATTGGCTTTCTGGGGACTGAATATACACCCAAAGCGAATTATTCCCACTTCTCTCAAATTCTATATCTCAATAACTTTTTCAAAGGGACGTATCAGCTTTTGTAAACAATGCATTTGATCGCTGATTTGGTGGAACTGGTAGCTCGCACACGCTTACTAACACCACTAGCAGGTAGGGGAATATTTCCCCTATCTGATGGTAGTGTTAGCAAGCGTGGGTGTGTTACCAGTTACGCCAAATCGACGATCAAATGCATTGTTTACAAAAGCTGATACGTCCCTTCGAAAAAGTAATCGAGATATGGTTTTTTAACACTTACTACCAGCGTGTTCTGGAAAATGGTCGGCGATGATTAATCTCACCAATACATTCGGGCCTACAATTCCACACCTTCTATAGAGACCAGGTTGAGCCTTGATAGCTAGCTGCTTACGGGAACTGATGACCTTGACAAATGTCCAAATAATACTATTAACAAATTTATGGTGGTCCTGAACAGGACCGTTTTGTAGTGATGGTTGAGTAATGCTGAGCTGAGCACGACGAGCTACTGATTCCGATCCTAGCCTAGCGGTGGGACTTCTACTTCCTTCTCTATGGTTGCTTATATGAGCTCTGCAGCTCACTGCTTGCAGGCAGCCTTTCGTTGTTGTTGTTGTTGAAAGCACTCCTGCTGCTGCTGCTGCTGCTGGACTGAACATCACCACTTACGGTGATTGAATGAGCACCTCCTAGTGGGACCGCATCGAATTCGATTTTTAAGTCTGTGTTAGCGAATGCGCTGTTTTCAGACATTCGGTGATAATTTTGATCACCATTGCAACAGTTGGACATTTGGTATTTTTCAATAGTGACCTATTGAAAATTAACTAAGTGTTAATTTTAGCAGATTGGTAGATAAATTTCCAATCGTTTGGCTTGTTTAGAATTAAAATATATTTGCTATTGGTCGAAACCTAACCTCTTTTCGTAATGCTGTGCATTTTGGTTTTTTGAAATTGCGTGGATTCTATAGATCCTGTGGAGATCTATCTAGCCCTGATGTATGTGTTGGTAGAGGGAAAAATGTAAACTTTGCAGGAGACGATGTCTTAACACTCGAAAGCAATTTTGTGAAATATGAAGTAAAACAAATCAATAAATTATCTCAACATTTAGTGGAAAACCGTTCATAATTTTTGGTAACATACAAAAAATTCTTTAATCCACATTAAATTTCATATGTAAGCGCCGATTGAAACAATCTTTTCGACGTCACTACAAGGGTGATTGATTAAACGAAAGAAACGAATCGTGCGGAATGAAAGCCGAGGAAAAACTAATTGCACCAATATATTCAGGCCTACAATTCCACACCTTCTGTAGACAGGTTGAGCCTTGATAGCTAGCTGCTTGCGGGAACTGATGACCTTGACCAATGTCCAAATAATACTCTTTAACAAATTTTTGGTGGCCCTGAAAAGGACCGTTTTGTAGTGATGGTTGAGTAATTCTGAGCTGGGTGTTCAACACGGATGAGGCTGTCGAGCTGTATGTCGTTTGGAGCGAAGGTGACACGCTTGACATAGATGACCGACCCGCAGCGACTCACGAAGAGCTACTGATTCCGATCCATAGCATAGCGGTCCATCTTCCTCCTCCTTAGATGGTTGCTTATGTAGGCTCTGCAGCTCGCTGCTTGCAGGCAGCCTTTCGTTGTTACTGGAGAACAATTTTCAACGCCACACGCCGAAAGCATTGCTACTGCTGCTACTAATTTCGACGACTGAACACCACCACACAGTGGTGTGGTCGTTGGGAGCGTGTGGTTCTGAGTATGGCGATGAGTGTGCAAAATATTACGCAATTCCATCCTCCCTATTCGCACGCGCCCGAGGATCGGAGGCGAATGCCACTTCGACTTGTTTCGTCTACTTACTACTCTCTGACGACTGTGCTGGGGAAGCAGCATATGCATGTAGGTAATTGGTGGATTTGTTAGTTAATTCGACGCTTTTGGGCAATGCTGGACATTTACCAGTTTTCCAATAGTTTCTTGTTGAAAATCAACATTCGAGACATTGTTATCGATGCGTAGCCATATTTCTGATCGATTGGTGATAAAATTATTGAAATTGGACCAGGGGCAGCTGAGTTATTAACGTTCAAAATCTTTCTTAATTTGTTACATGTTCCATTTTCGGTTTTCACTAAGTGTACCCCCATATAGAAATCAAAGACGTAGTCCTACGTCAAAAGTAATAAGGTAGAGCGGTACTTCGTCTTAATCGCCCATTTCCGTTCTATCGAGCAGAAAACATCAATAATATCAATGATTTCACCGTGCACAAATCAATAATACGTTTGATCTGATACGTTACTTCATAAGCTACAAAACAAAGCCGGTTAGAGCGTATTGTATGCATATTTACACTCATTGCTCTCAAAACAAAAGAAGCGCTCCAGCGAATCTCCTAAATTTATACCTGCAGCCATAGAGATTAGTGACGTTTAACGGACGCACACTATAGCGGGAGGATCGCCGTGTAAAGTTGTTTATTATTTTCCGCTGGCTAACCTAAAAATGTAAGAAATTAGATCTGTCAAAATGTGTCGGATTTTAACTAACACGTTCTCACGTACCGCACCAATACAACCGGACGTGAAAATCTCAATAGGACGAAGAGAATTCAATGGCTTTTCAATGCGTTAGGACGGAATTGAAACTCGTAGAACGAACTTGGAATCAAGAAGCAGTGTTGGATTTTTAACAATATCTCAATACAATAACAATATCTCTAAGCGGACAAAGTTAATATGCAAAAGTCATCTGAAGACTGTCCTCGATGCAATGTTGAAGGTCGGTATTGGCCTAAATGGCACTTTCTTGGGAATTTTTTCAATAGTAGTTCTCATACCTGAAATTGGAATTGTTACGAATATTCAACTATTTATCAACAACCCAGGCCTAAGCGGACAAAGTGAATATGCAAAAGTCATCATCTGAAGACTGTCCTCGATGCAATGGTGTCAGTGAGTATCGACCTACAGATCGAGTCAAATCAGCAGAAGGATTTTCGAGGCAACACGTCAAACCCCCAGATCATACCTGTTTCTTCAGACATTATCAACCTTACCCCGGATGCTGATATATCACAACTATTCAACACTAGTATGGAGACTCCCGGAATAGTAGCTGTGGAATTTATTGATGATTTTGTTGGGGACGGACAAGATGACACCACTCGCTCTGCCGTGTTAGTCGCAAATAAAGCAAACGATTCAACAGAGCCGTCTCAACATCAACATTCCCGAGAAGCATGTATTCCAGCCTCATCGATCACAAGTCGTCATCTTGTCCAAATAGAATGCGCGACCGAAGTTGTCGAAGACCATCCAACTACAGCAGATATGCGAGAACTAGAACAATCAACGATGGAGTCACAAACTGCCGTTGAAAATGATCCAACTTCCGGTACAGTGGAAAATGTTGAAAATCAGTCACCCAATGCATTTCAGAAACGGAATCATCCCGGAGACATAAAACTCCACAAGAGTTCGAAAAAACACGCTTCAACGGAAATGAAGTTCAGAAGTTTTGAAATCAACTGGAGCAAAATTAGCGACAACCTTCTGGTTCGGTTGCGAGCCTTGCAAGATTTCAGAAACGCCAATCCTGGTGTGTTCGCTCCAGCTGCATTACGTTTCACCAAAAGAGAAGTGAGTTTGCTAGCAAATTGTGTAGTTGACCAGCTACGCATGATCGATACACAGATAAGAGCTGAAACTATGGAAATCGTGTATCGGCAAATTCTCTATAAATTCCCGTGCTTGGATTTCTCGGATGATGATGGATTCGGGGCTGGTCAAGGCTTCGTGGAACTGAAATATAAGATGATCAATCGAAACAATTATTTGAATAGGTTTAAGGACTCCCAAGCAGCAGCAACAAAACCCGTCATGAGTTTGAAGAAAAGTCGTAATACCCGAGCTGGTACCATCAAACAATATTGGGAGAAAACTTCAAAAGAATGTGACAAAGATACTTTGTCAAAACTCAAAAGAAACGAATCACTCCTACTAACGGATGCATTTCTTTTCCAATCCCAAGCCTTTGTGAGGTACCGGTTGGACGAGAAAATCAATGCAGCCAGAATAATTTCTCAGCTTCCCGTGATTCGACGAAGAATACTTTTGAACTATCATTTCGAAAAGGCCACAGGAAAAAGTGTAAGCGTCTTCCGACACTATTTTGCATCAAAGAGAGACAAAATAATTCAATATTCACTTACATGCCGCAACAATTTGCACTTGGTGAAAACGTCGACTGATCTTGCCATACTTAAGCTCCTTTGTTGTTTGGTAGGGGAAAACTTCGATGAATTAGTTCTTCAGAAGCAGGTCAGGAATAGTATATTTTTCTCTAGAAACTTAAAAAAAAAATCTATTTTAGATTGGTACCCGTATTGATGATATCACCGTTTGCAGCGCTGGACCAGTACTAATTTCAGTTATTAAGTTTAATCATAGTGTGATTTGTGGATGTTCTGGATTACGTTTAGCAAAGAGAGGAATTGCAGTTTGACTACTTCAACAAGTTGGCTCATTACAATAGTTAAAGTTTGTATGACAGGTAACAGCATCCTGATCTCCATTGATCTTTTGAGATGTACTAAGGTTCCCAACAACTGTCAAATTTAAAAAAAAAAGTAGAAGGGTCTGTGCGTAGGGGCACGAACGGAAGCTTGACGTAGGACCGCTAGTGGATGGAATAAATATCTATTATCTCAACTCTTTCCGGTTTTGAATTGTAGGCGATCCAAATTTGTAGTAATCTTTTTCAAAAAGAAAGTTGATGACGAGAATCAATAAAAATCACTTGCATCCCTGCTTCCAAGTTTGTGTGGTCGTTGGGGGCTTGTGGTTCTGAATATGGACAAACAAGCATAGATAAATTCTATTCCAACTCTTTACTTATGTAAGCTTGATGGCCCTGAAAAGGGCCGTTTTATTGAAGAGGACATCCATGGCCACTTACGCTTGGCGTGTTTAGTGTAGGTGACAGCATCACGGACCTAATTTTCCACGAACACATTCAGCACACCTCGTAGATCAGACCGGAGATACGTCAGACACTGCCACGGCGAGCCAGACGACGGATGGTGGTTATCTCGAAGAATTTGCGATGACGATTGGCACCTCCTTTGCCATGACCTACTGCTACTATTGCTAACCACGCCGTCCGAAGCGAAAATGAGCTGATACCAGTTAGTTAGTTTTAGTTTAAATGATCTTTATTTCAGTTTAACTTGGACGATTACCATATAAATTTTTTTTTACTAAGTAATTTAATTGCTTTCTTCATCTTTAGGTATGGGCAAAATTCAAAATTTGTTTTACAGGATTAGTCCTAGACTTAGTACACGGTCGACCACCTTGGTGGGATTGGTTTGTTTTGTTTTTAGAATTTGAAGAGAAACTACTCAATACTACTATTGACAGCTTAAAACTAACCTACTCTACTATATACACTTAACCTACTATGTACAAATTGCTTATTAAAGCATGTTCAGAAAGATTGCATTTTTGAATAAATTTAGTTGTCATATCATCAATTTTGGAATCTACTTTGGGAATTTCTGCCTCTTGATGGAGGTCTGCTATTCTTGTGTCGAATGGACGATCTAGGATCATCCTCAACACTCTATTCTGTGCAACCCGGATTTTGTTCCTGTGGGTCTGAGCGCACGATTCCCACACCGGGGCGGCATAGAAGATCGTGGGGGCTATGATCTGTTTGTAAACAGCCAGTTTGTTTTGCCTTGAGAGGCGGGATCTGCGGCAAATGAGCGGATACAAACACCTAACCAAGGCGGAGCACTTAACTAGGGGTTTCTCTATGTGCGAGCGGAACAGGAGCTTCTCATCGAACAACATCCCGAGATAAGTAACATCAGTGGACCACTCGACCCTTGTACCATCCATTATTACGGTACAGGAGGGAGACGGTTTAAGTTTTGGTGATTGTCTGTGAAGGAACATGATCGCTTGGGTTTTCGAGGCGTTGATTTTGATTTTCCACGTGGTGGCATAATCAGTAAAGGTGTCAAGGCATCGTTGGAGCTTGTTCGTAATTTCACGAGGCATCCTACCCTTGACGGCTATCGCGGTGTCATCTGCGAACAGAAAGAACACGCAACCGTCTCCTAGAGGAGGGATGTCCGACGTGTAGATGCTGTAAAGCAGTGGTCCCAGCAGACTCCCTTGCGGAACACCTGCTGGGATCGGAAATTGTCCCGAAAGGGAACTATTCAACGACACCCTGAACGACCTTTGCTGGAGATAGTTACGGGTGATTTTCACAAGGTATGGTGGAAAGTTGGAGTTACAAAGCTTGTATATAAGTCCGTCGTGCCAGACATTGTCAAACGCCTTTTCGACGTCTAACAAGGCCATGGCTGTGGACTTGGATACAGCTTTGTTACTTCGGATGTTATTCATCACCCGCACTAGCTGATGATTGGTGGAATGCCCCTTGCGGAACCCGAACTGTTCCGGAAGAAGAATGTCATGTTCCTCCACAAACTTGTTTAGTCGGCTGAGGATCAATTTTTCGAACAGCTTGCTCAGCGCTGAGAGCAGGCTAATCGGTCTGTAGCTTGACGGTAGTGAAGGGTCTTTCCCAGGTTTGCGGATCGGGATGATTTTTGCCACCTTCCAGATGCTTGGAAAGTAGTGCAGCTCCAAGCATCTGTTGAGGATGGCAGCCAGCAGCGAGTGGACCCTCGGGCTGAGATTTTTCAACGCTAGGTTGAATATTCCGTCAAACCCGGGAGCCTTCATGTTTTTACTATATTTCAGCGCTGAGCAAATTTGTTCCTCTATAATCCGTTCTTCTGGAGGTACGGCACAAGGGGAGGTATCTAACGTCTGGACGCACTGCACAACCTGGTTCTCGAGTGGACTTGGGATTGTAGAGCCAAGCAAATGCGACTGGGCAATGTGCTCCCCAATTGCATTGGCCTTCTCTTCGTTGGTGATAAGCCGTTCGTCATTGACTCTAAGTGGTGGAATGGGCTTGGGGTGAGACTTCAGCACCTTGGCAACCTTCCAGAATGGTCTGGAAAGGTCGTCCAGGTTCTGAACGAGCCGCCCGAAACTCTCGTTCCGGATTGAGATCATTCTGGAAGCGATCTGCCGATTCAGATCGACCATTTCGCATTTACACTGCAGATCCCCAGTCCGCTGAAACTGGCGTCTACGAACATTTCTGAGCCGAATCAAGAGTTTGGTGTGGGAATCAATTGCTTGAAACTTACCCCTCACAGGAACTCGTCGAACGCACTCTTCGTCAGCCATGGATATGGCTTGATGGAGACCCTCCAGGGCCCGGTCGATGTCCTCCACTGTGTCGAGCGGTGGGTTGTCGTCGATGTGGCGGTCGACCACGCGTCGAAACTGGACCCAGTTGACTCGATGGTAGTCCTTCCGCTGGCACGGTGCAGGGGCCACGTTGTAGCCCAGCTCGGTCAGCACCGGTTGGTGGTCCAAACTCAGGTCGTTGACGGCAACCGGCTTGGCTAATCTGGTGTTTGCCAAGAACAGGTCCAGCGTCGATGGGTTGCCCGTCGGTGATGTGAAGGTTGGTTCGTCCGGAAACCAGACGGAATAGAGACCATGCTGGGAATGGTCAAATAGCAGGCGGCCGTTCTGGTTCTGCTGGTAGTTCCGCCAGGCCTCGTGCCGGGCGTTCAGGTCCCCTCCGATTACAAAGCGGGCATTGGTGTGGGTTATGATGGCAAGGTCGTTCTTGAACTGCTGTGCTGTACCATTGCTAACGGTACATTGCCGGGGGCAGTAGACAACGATGAACCGGACGTTTCCGGTCGATGTTTCCACCTCAACGCCGACGGCCTCGATGATGGAAGTGCGGTAGTGGGGTAGGGTGCAGTACTTGATGCCTTTCTTGATGATGACCGCGACACCGCCCCCCCTGGAGCTGGTGCGATCAAGCCGGACAATGTTGTGGTCGGGCAGATAGAAGCTGTCACCGGTCTTGAGGTGGGTCTCGGTGAGAAGGCCCACGTCGATGTCGTGCTTGCGGAGGAAGTCTGCAAGCTCAATGTTTTTCGCCCCTACGGAGCGAGCGTTCCAGTTGGCAATCTTTATGGGTTCACGGTCCATAATTAGCGACGAAGGAGATGATAGCTTGGAGCTGTTGTGTTCTTGTTGCGCAGGTGCGCTTGATGATGATGGCCTGGGCCAACAGTGTGACGATCTCATCCGTTGACAGCGGAGAATCGTCTGTAGCTTCACCGGTTGTACCGGCCAATCCCGGAGCAGGGGGATCCGTCGATGGCCCGGAGGCTTGACCGGGTACTGCAGCGGCAGCCAACTGGGCAGCAGCCAACTGTTGGTTGAGCGGGAGCGGCGGCAACACTGGAATTGGCCGTGATTGGACCGGTGATAACGGAGGAAAGTTCTGCGCGTTGTTTTCTGGAACCTTCTTGCGACCGGGCTGGCTGTTGGACGAGGCTTTCTTCCGGATCTCGGCGTATTCGGCCCGCTTCGGACAGGCCTTACTCGTGGCCTTGTGGGCGGCACCGCAGTTGGCGCATGTGGGAGTGGCTTCCTCGATGCTGTCGCAGTTGTCGATCTTGTGATTTTTGCCGCATTTGATGCAGCGGCTGGCCATGCGGCAATTCCTGGTGCCGTGCCCGAACAATAGGCAGTTCGAGCACTGAGTGACGCCACGGTGGGTCGGCTTATACCGCTCCCACTTCACTACGATGTGGAACAGTGTGCGTGTCGTCTGGAGATCCTTCACGGTTGTGGAGTTCTTCTCCAGATGGACCAGGTAGAGCTGGTCACGATACTTGATGGCCTTGCTGCGGGTCATCTTGTGGACTTCGACCGGCTTGAGGCCGTTCGTCTTAATCGCGTCCATTAAGGTGGTGGTGTCCATGTCGTGGAGCCCGCGCAGCACCACTTTCAGCGGCTTGGTGGCCTCGATGTCGTGGGAGAAGTACTCCAGCTTCATCCTGTCCAAGAGGGCCTGAACTGCGTTGAAGTGTTTTTCGGCCGGGACCATCAGTTTGTAGCCTTCCGTGCACCGTTGAATGGTGCAGCGAAGGCCCTGCTTAATGTAGAAATCCAGCTACTCCCATAGCCCGGGAGGGAAGCCCTTCACAAAGAAGGGTGGCAACTTAACTTTTTTCGGCACCGTCTCAGGGTCCGACTGCGGCTGGGCTCCGTTCTGCAGGGCCGAGAACGGATTGTTGCTCAGCAGCTTTTTTGCTGCTGATGCGGTGGCGCTGCTGTCTTCAGGTCTGGGTTGTTTAGTTCCGGGAGGCCCCGGCTGCGGGTCCGCAACGCCTGTCGGGATGGGCAATGGGGTTTTCTTCTGCTTCTTCTGGGCTGGCTCGGTGGTCGCGCCGTCTCCTGGGAGAGTCTGTTTTCCCGGTAAACCGGCACTCGCGTTACCGCGCGATTTCTTACCCATGGCTGGGT